GGGCGGTAGCTACCGAGGCGGCCGCCGCCAAAAAGAAAAAGGGGGGAAACTCGCCTAAGGAACCCTCTTCCGGCATCCCTGGCTACGAATGGGTCAGGGGTGACGTCGGGGAATTCCATAGCGTCTTCTAGTCGTTCATGGAGGTTAATGCGATGCAGAAATCGCATAGGATCTGTGAGCCATCTGTTTCCAAGCTTATCCGGCTTGAACCGTGTCAGCCCGGTGAGCACGTCTGTATGGGGGGTACCTCTGACCCTCCTTTCTTCTATATGTACCAGTGCTTTTTTAGGGATTTGGGCGTGTGCCTACCCTTTTCTCAATTTGAATGTGATTTTTTGAATTTTGTTAACTCGGCACTGATGAGGATTTTCGCAATCTCTCCACTTGGCAAGTCCTTTAAAATCCTAATCCAATACACCCCCCTAAATAAAAAAAACTTATACAAAAGAAAATAGAAGATGCCTTAGCTGCTTACAAGTTTACTTGAAAAAAACGGGTGTATAGAGTTGCGATAGCGTTAGGTTGACGCGTAAGCGTTCATTCAAATCACGGAACTTGAAACCCTTCTGATATAAACCCTGGCTTGGTTGTTTGCTCTTTCGTACTAGTTCTCTTAGATAACTTGCTATTGTCTTCAGCCCAACGCAGGATCGATTTACTCACCATTTCATGGTATGTTCTTCTCTTTCAATTTCAACACTTGCTTTTCAATTCTACTCAGGCGTTCGATTTACCCTTTATCTTTCGTGTTGCAGGCTTTGCCCAATCAGCAAACCGTGGATTATCCCAGTTTCAAGCTCGTAATCGTCGGTGATGGTGGCACAGATCATCTTTTCTTGTGAATTTTTCAGCAATGGTTATGTCAATTCCGTGACGATGTAGGTTATGCGTTGGCATATGAACTTTATTATTGTGTTGAACATTCGCAGGAAAGACAACTTTTGTGAAAAGGCATCTCACTGGGGAATTCGAGAAGAAATATGAACGTAAGGTTTATTTTTAACTAAGGACATGATTGTGTGCCTTAATGCTCATCTTGTTCCACCTCTGATTTTATTCTTTTTCTCGATACTGCTTGTCCAAAACAGCAACCATCGGCGTGGAAGTTCACCCATTGGACTTTTTCACAAACTGTGGAAAGATTCGATTCTACTGCTGGGATACTGCTGGACAGGAGAAGTTTGGTGGCCTCAGAGATGGATATTAGTAAGTCATCTGGTCTCAATTTTTCGCTTAACAGATTGCGTTTGTTATGACACTAGCTTAACATAGGTTTTCACTCTCAAGTTGTTTTTCATGGCTATTAAAATGTATAATTGGTTATTTGTCGGCAAAAGTTATAGGCATAGCCGTTTGATTCCATAGGTTTTATATCAGAGTTGATGGTGTATGGCAGTTGCCTTTTTAGTCTTATTTCTTCTAGGATGACTTTGTTAGATATATAGATATTCTAGAATTTCAAAACTGTTATGAAATATTTTACTTGTTCCGCTGGAAATTTCTGCTCGAGTAGAGTCTATTATTCTTCTGTAATACGAACAATTTTCAACTTTCCTTATGCCTCTAGTCTGCTCTTTGTCTAATGCTAGTAATATTGTGTTTGCAGTATCCATGGGCAATGTGCAATTATCATGTTTGATGTTACTGCTCGTCTGACATACAAAAATGTCCCTACATGGCACCGTGATCTTTGTCGGTTCGTACTTGAATATGTCTCTAATTATTTGGCTGTATGTTGTTTATATTGACATCATGGGTAATATCTGCCCAACGGATTTTTTCAGGGTCTGTGAGAATATCCCGATTGTTCTCTGCGGTAACAAGGTTGATGTCAAGAACAGGCAAGTGAAGGCAAAGCAGGTTACTTTCCACAGGAAGAAGAATTTGCAGTACTATGAGATATCTGCTAAGAGCAACTACAACTTTGAAAAGCCTTTCCTGTATTTGGCCAGGAAACTTGCAGGGTAGCGCCACTAGTTTCTACTGCATAATTTATGCACAAGTCAGAACACATCAAACTTCTAAAAAGGACATTAACTTATTATTCTGCTTGTGTCAATTTTGCAGCGATCCTAACTTGCACTTTGTAGAATCTCCTGCATTGGCTCCACCTGAAGTTCAAATTGATTTAGCTGCCCAACAACAGTAAGCTATCTGTCGAGAACTATATTGTTTTCTCCAATTCCATCAACCTTGTGCTTGATTTATGGCTGACATGATAGGAAAACGACATATTGCATTTGCGAAGTTGCATTTGGAATTAAAAAAATGCTTTCTAAAACTGAATTGTCACTATCCATAATAATAGGGGGTGTAACTGTGTAAGGTAGGGGAAGACCTAGTTTTTAATTAAGCATGGAGAATGAATACTGTTTCCCATATTCAGTCTCCCTACTCTGCGGCTCTGCCAACTTAAACATCCAAACAAAGTGAATTAGTTGACCCTTCATCCATCCCATTCATGTATATTAAAAAGGGTGCACACAACACAATGCTTGTTTCATAAAGGTCTTGAAGTATTATTGTGCCCATTCGATTGGAATTGTTCATTTTAGATTTCCTATATTTATGTATTGGTGGCTTTTGCAGGCATGAAGCTGAGCTTGCTGCAGCTGCTAGTCAACCCCTTCCTGACGATGATGATGACACTTTTGAGTAGAGGTCTTGTGTGTTTGTGGACTGTCCCGATTGCTGGTATTTGTATGCTACTGTATGTGCTTTTGGGGGATTGTATCGGCATTTATGGACGTGAATTCGATGATCTGAATTCAATCATTATGATATTTTATTTGCTTAAATTGAAAATCTCCGTTGACTAAAGATTTCACCACGGGCGATAAATTATGCTTTTTGCGTGTCTGCTCTGTCTTGAGAAGACGAGGAATGGTTGATTAAACAAATTTTTGGTCTTTTAATAACACGAAGGAGGAAGGTGGGGGGGATTGGTAACTGCTGGAGGGTAGGGTAACAACGAAGGCTGGGTTGAGTTAGATTCATTTTCAGTTCGTTTATCCCCAGCAGGAAACAAATTGGTTGGTTTCTATACCTCTTCTATTTAAACTAACATTTTAATGAAATCCTTTAATATTTTAAGGAATGATTGTTATAAATCACTTGATACATAGTAGTGGTGTAACTCGATATTAGATCTAGCTACTGTATTTGAAAAATAACGTTATTAAAGTAATTTTATATAATATAATATAATATTATATTGTGCTTGTTATTACTTCTTACTTTGATGTTGTACACATTCTTCACTTCATATAGCAAGATTGCAATATAGCAGTATAGTAGTCTAGATATTATGTTATTAGCTCTCATCTGCTACTTATAAAACAAAATAAGCAAAAATAAGGCTTAAAGTGTTCTTAAAAAATTGAGAATTAAAAGTGAAATTTTAATTAAAAAATGTATAATTATGCTAATATTTCTTTATCATACTTTTTTTTAATAGTTTTTTAATTTAGTAAGTCTTTGAACAAAATAATTGTAGGATCCATGATGGACCTGCTTGATAACACATTAGAGAATAACATCGAAGTAATAACGTAGTTGTTAAACAACTTTTTTTTCCCCTTTTATTAATCTGCTTTTCATGTACAACTTTTGTATTTGAAATTTATTGTATTGCAAGCAAATATTGTACAAGACCATTTGAATGAAAAAATAGCCCACAACTCCAGCTACCTAGTAGCCGTTTTTGTCATGACTAACAAGCTAAGCAACTTGTGGTTCGATTAGCCTTGTCTTCTACATTACCCATGATAGTATTACTATCGCCCAGGCACATCAAATTAGGATTATGATCACCATCATTTTTCATTTATCATCAGCTTTCACTTGCTCCCAGGACTGTTTGCATCTCACACAACTTGTGACCAGGGTTTACTTAATGTCCAAGAAATTGTTTGACACCCACATACAAAAATATTGGATGAAAATAAGAATTCGTAGATAAGCTAATGGTGAACGGATTTTTGTCGATACTTAAGCATAGGATTATTAGTTGTCTATCTCACATTCTTCCGTTCTTTCATTTATTGTTGCACATTATGAATTTTCAACCATGTGAGACTACGATGCATTTGTTGGAAACTATCATAATTCTTCTTTTCGTGAATTAGATCATTTCAATCTAAATCCCAAGCAGGGGGAACTGACCTTGTTCTTTCTGTAGAACATAAGAGATCTCGAAAAAACTTGCTTCCTCCTTAAGAATCCCCTCGTTTAATATATAAAGGTGAATAATAAAAAGAGATGATCGGTTCAAGTTGTAAATTATTAATTTAATTTCCGAACCAATGGAAGCTGGATCTTGAGTTTGGCTCAAGGGAAATCCAATCATAGAAAAATACTAAATAAACATATAAGATATGGTTTTAAGGGTCACATTGTCGGGTCAAACAAGATCAATAACCATCATCACTTCTCACACTCTTATTAATAATTGTTTGAATTGAGTTTATGCAATTTTTTTAAACTCAACCTAGTCACAAACAAGTTGAATTAGGTCAATAGACAATATAATTAAATTTATTTATTATTTAAATATTTCTAAATAGATATAAATTATTTGATATATTATTGCACATATAATGTTATTAACTCATAAAGTAAACAATGATACAAACTAAATTTTAAAATAAATTTATTAATTTGTTATATTATTATCAATTTAAAAAACCAACATTAATTAATTTAAAATAAAATTTGAAATAATTATGTTATATTGTTATAATGTTATCAATCTAAAAATACAAAACTCGTTATTGAATAAGAGTGACAATGATTATTGTTTTGAATAAATAATCATTCAAACGTTATTGTTGTTGTTGTTAAGGTTCAAGAATTTTTTCTTTTACTGACGTATTTGATTCTTGTATTTGCAGGCATAATAGGCAAAACCAAGTGGCGTGAGTTGAAGTCTCGCTACAATGTTGCCGAGATTGAGGTCCCTGAACCCCGGGAGGAGGAGGTGGCCCCCCTGGAGACCCGAAGAAAAAGAAAGAGGGGAGAGAAAGAGGTCGGGGGGACCTTTGCCCCTCGAGATGTTGAGGAGGTGACCTCAAAGGCTGCCGATGCCGACGCGGTTGACCTTACTGGGAGTCCTCCACCCTAGGGAGCTCCCCAAGTGGCCGCCGAGGAGGTTGCCCAGGTCGCCGAGCAGGTTGCCCAGGCCAACGAGATTGGTGCCTTTCTTTGTGATTTTCCTTCTATATTTCCCTTTTCTTGATTTCTGACTTAGGAGGAAAATTTTTTGTCTTTTGCAGGCGAGGAATGTTGCCGAGGTCCCGGTGGCTCCGAGCTTGGAGGTACCAGGGGCGGGCGCCCCCGTTGCTGAGCAGGAGGCGCCTGCTTCTGCTTCTGCCGAGGCTCGCGGAAAGGGGCCG